AGAGAGTAAATTTTTGTACATTGAGAACGAACGTTCTACGTCAACTGATGTTATTGGACAGTTTTTAAAATATGTGAGATCATTTAAATTCAAATCTTCAAGTAAACCAGATGTGTCTTCTTTTTTTTCCATTTAATATATCTGATATTTTGAAAACTGCTTGATACCTTTTATTTTTTGATAATATAGATTTAATCTTAATTTTTATTATTTTACCCATTTCTCCATTAATTTGAATTAATTTTTCTTTGGCTTCTTCGACAATAGAAATTGAATCTATCAGTGGAATTTCTTATTTTTCAAGTCTTGTTATTAAATCTGGTAAAAATCCAAAATTTGATTTTATGAATACCAGTTGTGCTTCAATATTTAGATCCGAGAGATACTTTTTTGGAATTTTTTATTGAAACTGCATAATTTTCATCAAAATTATTGATGATTAATTTTATTTGCTCAACATTTTCAGAGTAATAGCTAGCTGTTTTAATCCAAGTACCCCATCTTGTCAAAATTGGTTCAGGTGGTAGTGATAATGATGGGGCTATTGATTTAAAATATTGAATGCGAGAAGGTGCTTTGCGGAAAACCTTTTTTACATTTGCGATAAGTTTGTCAACTTTTGGATATCCTGCTCGTACAGTTTCTGCAATCCTATGAATTGCATGGGTCAAACACATAACGTGTATAATTTTTGGATAAAATAATTTAATTGCTTCCCTAGCTTTTATCATATAGGGGGCAGCGTCGTTTAGAAATTTAATTTAAAATGCCAATAACAACATTGGCTACATATCTACCGATGATATCGGTAGTTTAATCTGTTGATACCCAAGTACATTTATTTTGAACATTATCCCTAATTTTTTTAATTTTATTTTCATAAATTTCATCAACATAACCTTTTTGTGACATTGACTCAGAAGGAATATCTTTACCAGTGTACTTCGATAGAAATTTTTTAAAATATGAATTTGATAATTTATTCAAAGATATATTAGCTGACATCAAAGCTTCACAAAGATCGTGACTATCTCATTACTATATAGTAATTATATATTTTATTAGTAACTTTAAATAATTAATTAAAATCATCTGAGCACGGGAGTATGTGCACCCACACAACCAGAGGTGTCGAAGTCCTAAAAATGAAGTCAGACGAAAAATATTTAATGAGACCACAATATCTAAATTTCAGCCCTATGGCGTACATTGAAGGGGGAGGGAATGATTTTTATCAAAAACATTTTGATATTAAATTTAAAAAAAAAAGGAAAAATTGTGAAAAAATTAGAAAAAATTTTAATTAAATATTTTTTGTAATACTCAACAACCAATAATGCCAAAAACAGTGAAACCGAAAAGTGGAAATCGACATTATTTTCTATGACCCAAAAGCATAAAACAAATTTGGACTTTTGTTCCTTTGTAGTGGAATAAAAGCACATAATAAACTGTATTACTTTATATAGTATTTTACCTATTGTAATATACGTTTTATCGAGTTAAGTTGAAATTTAGTATTGCATTATATTAATTACAAAAAAAATGATATAGAAATTTTACATTGGTAAAAGTTTTTTTTGGATTGGCTTTTTTTAAATTCCACTGAAATTTCTAATGCATTTTATGAACTATTTACTATTGCTCTTGACAATAATAAAATATCAGCGTTTTTATAAACTTATCTATTCTACACGCATATTTTAAAATTATTTAAATAAAAATTATAAAATACAATGTCACGATAAATTAAAATTGTACCTGAGAATCATGGTACACACATTTTAACATCAAAATGTGAATCATTTAGTCGTTACTTTCTTGCTAATATATTTGTTATCAAAAACAAACAAAATAATATATATAAAAAATTTTTACTATTGTTATAAATAAATAAATTAATATTATAATTATAATTATATATATATATAATAATACTCAATAATTGAAAATAGTCTCGAACATCCTTTTTCATTGAAATTCTAATGTTGCCTTTTAGATATTTTTGTATAATATATAAAATCCATGTTTTTTTTTTTTTTTTTGCCGTTGTTTTTTCTGTTATAGTGACTATATAAACGAACACCCTTCTATCCCATATATTAAATAGGTATTCTATTTTTTATTATTATTCAAAACTGAGAAAACAGTATAATAAAAACTATAAATTTTAGATTAAATGATTAATGTTTTGATTGATTGATTGATTAATTATTATATTTTCACGATTTACCAAGTCTATTGTGAATATTATTAAGAAGCAGAGTTTTTAAAAATTTATAGTTAGAAAATAAATAGCTATAAAATACCTATTCATATATGCATACTTTTACCAAACATATTTATATTTATATATAATGAATACCACATTTTTTTTTTTGGAAATTCATTCCGCATTTCAACAATACAAATGTATATCTTGTATATATTGTTACTTCTTTTTAATATTATTTCTTTTTCTATACGATTTGTTGTTTCTTCGACAATTTTCTAGAGTAGTATGTCTTGAGGTAGATTTAATTAAGTTAAAGCATTAATCACGCAATGACTCAAGACTTTAGCAAAAATAGGGGGTGGAAAGCAAACTGATTCTATGTAGAAGTGAAAAATCCTGGAAGAAAAATTAAGGCTGTTTCTTATACACACATACACATATATACATTCACATAAACTGATACGCGTACGCACACGCAAAAATAAGTACACAGATTGCTTTAGGGATAGTACAATAAGTTACGTTTCCATGACATGAGGAGGGGTGAGAGAGGTAACGCGGGTAAATGCGATAGAAGAAAAATACGTTAAACACGTTACTCCGTTTTCAGATTTAATACGTTTTCATTAAATGTAGGGAAAGTAGTCATAAAGGTATAATGAAGTTTAGCAAAAGCAGATAATTTTTAATTTTATATATCTATAAATATATGATCAATATGAGTAATATAAAGTTGTAAATTATTACATTATTTACTTATATTTACATTATAAGTATAAATCAATAGAGAGTGACTGAATAAAATATTAACATTATATTTTAAAGCCTTTAACATTTTTGAGAAATAATTAATATGATTGAAAACTAAACTAATTTTGATTTAACATAAAATAAAAAGTATTACCAATGTTCGGGGGAGTGATATTATGTTTCCGCTAATCAGAGGCACATTTATCAACTTAAAATTTTAAATGAAAGTTAAATTATTAAAATAAAAAAAAAATGATTTAAATTAAGCATGGGTTCTTAATAAAATAAAAAATTGTCAATATTTAAAGTTTAAATAGTGATTTACTAAATATTTAAGTTATTAATCATTTTTGAATTTGAAAAAATTGATCGCAGTGCAAATAAAAAAATGCCTTCAACTAATTGTATGTATTTTATTTATATTTAATAGTTATTTAAATGGCGAAGCTCAGCAGTCATTCTTAATTATTATTAATATATATTAAAATATTATTTTGTTCTAATTGGAATGCAAATTTAATGAAATCGGAATTAAATATTTTAAATTCGTTACCTCAAACTTAGGTGGTTCCAAAAATATTTAAAGTATTTAGCACTTTCGAATATTTAATTATAAAATTTAAAAAACTATTAGAAATTTATGGTATTTGATCAGATATTCCATCACACCAAACTGATAGAAATAATTATATATCCTGAATTATCAATTTTAATATTAAATTTGATGAAAAAATTGACAATATAGTATGTAATCTTGATATTAAAAATATACGTTATCTTGATTAATAATTAAAATATAGAACATAAATGTGTGTACAATTATTAATTATTTAAGAGTAAAATATTCGATTCTATATTTTTTTGTATGTAAATACACATGTCTAACGTATATTAATATATTGAGAAGGTATTATAAATAAAA